ATATATATATAACAAATATTAGTAGATAAATACTAATATCAAAAGATTATTTAATATAATTTATAATCACTTGCTCTGAATGGGGTGAGCAGAACACGTAATATAATCATTTGTTGCAATTCTTATTCCAAATTTTATGTATTTGTTAATTTCCTACATTTTTATTTTTTTAGAATGATTTTGAATGATTAATAAAAAGATTAAGGATACACTCTATATATGAAAGAAGGAAAAGATTATAAACAAATTTGACGAAAGATCTAATTGAGTTTTAGTCATGGTACTATGATTTCAATTCAAAATTTAAAAATTGGTTCCTAGTTCAATTTGGAAACTCTTCCACTCTTGCATTACATATTGGCATATACATACATCATTTTTATTACATGTCAATCTCCACATGTACTTACAAATGTGGTCAAGAAAACGTAACTAAGGAAACTTGTAAGCAGTTGCAGGGACGTGATGGATAGAGAGGATTGAAAAACTCAAGTTATTTTTGGCTTCTTTATAAAAGGTGCAACCTTGCAACATTGATTTACATACATCATATTTTTTGCATATCAATTTGCACATTTACTTGACAAATGTGGTCAAGAAAATGTAACTAAGAAAACTTGTAAGCAATTGTAGGGAAATGATGGACGGAGAGGATTGAAAAACTCAAGTTGTTTTTGACTTCTTTATAAAAGGTCCAACATCGACCTTGCTACTTTTTTGAACAAATAATTTTCCACCAACTATTTTTCTCTATGATTTGGTTGTCCATCAAACAAAGACAAACCATTTTGGTTTTCCAATCCGAAAGATACCCCACCAATAGTCCAAATACCAACCCACACCATAGCCTAACAAGACAACTAAAAAAAAACTATTTCAAGTACTATTAATCTCTCAATTTTCTCAGATTTTCTCAAGAATTGAACAGGTGATCAGGGGAAAAACTATTGAGAGAATTAAAACTTGGAATACCTACTTGGCTGAGTTGAATTGTGTTGGAGAATTTAGTAGTCATGGAGAATAGTCAAATTTTTTAAGATATGATAAGATTGAGATAATATGCATTTGCTGTAAAAGCAAATAAAAATCAATCAACATATATAATATAATATAATATTTCTTTAAGGAAAAAGATGGAGTTTAAGAATTTCCTTTATCATGTTTATATAGAACCTAGGTATATGGAATCAATTATACATAGCTTATATAAAGAATCAAAATAATGCCCACAAGC